ATCACAACATAAGTATTTTAAGATACCATCCGGATTGACCAACATAGCACTTGTGACAACTCCCACAGTTCAATTTCCACACAATATTGGATTGTATTCCTTCCTGAAGAAGAATTTAAATAAATTCGAAACGTTGGCAAGAATAAAATTGTATTTTTGAGAAAAAATTGATCCTGTTACCCAACCAACTCCTTTTGCAGAAAACTTATTGGATCACTAGACTAGTTAACATTCATAGTATCGTTGTATTTTGTAAAGCCCTCAAGTATCCTGATGTTATAGGGATTAATCATATCCCTTATTTTTTCTTCAACGGCTTGAAACCTTGATCATTTGTCATTAAAAAGTGATTATTCTTTACAAATCGTTTCATTTCTGTTTTCTTATTTTCTAGGATGGTCACAATTTTCTTTTATTCTGTTTTATTTTAATCACTGTGAATCAATACTCACTTTCATTTTTTCTCAAATATGAAAAGTAAATGCAAGAGATGCTGAACTCTTGTTTTTTTACTCGTATCATGATTATCTGACTTCTAAAATTGTGGGCGTTTATGAAGATATTGATTTTGGAAAGAATAGTTGAAACCTCTGAGGTAAAATTAATCCATCGAAAACACTTTCCTCATGCCCATATGGGTTATGACTGTACATAGTAAATCAATTGTTCAAAGGTTCTGGGCCATAGACACTCTAGACTCTGACCAACGTTGGTTAGAGCAAAGGAGTTCATTGTTCATTTGACCACGTGGTAAGTAGTTGGCCTTTGGATCCATATTGAATAAATTTAATGGTGATTTTATTTCCTTTTTGAGCACGAGATGTCGGAAGGTACTCACTTTTTGATATATTGAAGAAGTCTCGCCTACTACATTAGATGCAGTGCTACTTCACCAAATAGAAAGAATGTATTAATCATTTTCAAATATGTTCGTAACATCTTATCAATTTCTTGTAGTCATCAATAAGTACTTACTGATATTGAGAGCTCTGGATGAATGGTTGATGGTGACCGACTCATCAGTGGTAATTGTTATAACGTGGATCCTATACTTCTGTTTGTATTTGGGAGTAATGTCCATTTACTTCAAGTCTCCGAAAAACGCTACAGCCTCATGAATTTATTTTATTTTTTTCGTCCGTCACTTCATGACACTAATTTAGATATAGTTTGGATTATACATGAATTTTTTGCCTCTTGTGATACAAAGTCTCATATCCATCATATAATATGACAAGCTGTCTCTGTTCCTTTGTTACGTTGTCTGCAGCTGAGGTCCTGGTTATCTAGTTCCATTTTGTTCAGTTGTTCTTTGAACAAGCAATGTTCAGTGAGTAGTCCTGTAATTATTTTTAACTTATCCCTGTTGTATTGAAGTTCCTTCATAAAGATTTTACCGTCAGCGTTCCAAGGTATATATTTTACAGTTCTCATTATTTTCCTAATAACCTATTTTCTCGGCTGGTACCATGAATTTTGATACTCCCGCAGCTGGTTCGAGGCAAATACAGTACATTCCATTTGAAACGAGCCACCTTGAATAACTTTTGGTACAATGATTTGCAGGAAAAATAAAAAACACGCCAACCATAGTACACAGGGGGACACATTTTGACTTTTTTCAAAACTACTTCACAAAAACACCAATGAAACCAAGCTAACAGATTATACAGATGTTCATTCAGGGTGCCTCGTTTTCAACTCAAATAGTTTTTAGCTTCCAAACTATGAGCTTCAGACCATAATGTATTCTACTTTGTTGAAATCTGTTCATTATGAAACATCTGATAATGCACAACAATTGATCCATTTGAAAAAAAATGGTGACATGCTCTGGGGGTGTGATATGAGAAGTAACATCAAATGTGAATATGTCAAAATGTGTCCCCCTGTATACTATTGTGGACATGATTTTGATTTTCCTGAAAATTATTGTACCAAAAGTTATTCAGGGTGGCTCGTTTCAAATGGAATGGGCTGTATATGTAACTAACACTCTCATCTTTTTCATTGCCTGTGATATCTGAGCCTCTAGGCACCCAGTACAGAGTCAACCTATTCCGATTTGCCCGTTTCTTCAGTTCTTCATGTCATTCTCAGACCAGTACACCTTGGTTTCATGAATATCCCGAGTGCAGCGGAATTTTCTGAAAAAACATTGATCCGGTTATGAATACAAAAATAAATCGAAACTCAGAAGGAAAAATCCTGTCACAACAATTACATGCTGGAAAAATTGATTTCGATCATGATCACAATATATGAAAATCACAATATGAGACCGCCCGTCGAAGGTGGTCAAAGGGGGTTATGAATACAAAAATAAATCGAAACTCATAGAAGGAAAAATCCTGTCACAACAATTTCATGCTGGAAAAATCGATTTCGATCATGATCACAATATATGAAAATCACAATATGAGACCGCCCGTCGAAGGTGGTCAAAGGGGGTTATGAATACAAAAATAAATCGAAACTCATAGAAGGAAAAATCCTGTCACAA